TGACTTCTCCACAATAGAAGGGGCACGCAGAGGACAGCACTAGGACAGGGCTTGGTGCCTGCACACAGGGCCAGCATCTTCCTAACACTATGGTTTCCACCAGTCTGCCTTTGACTTGCTATGTTAATGGCCCTTCAGTCATCTGACCAGAAAAGCAGCTATGTCTTGAGTTAGTTACAAATGAATTTCATCCTCAATAACACTTTGCCAAGGCCATATTGTCTCTTCCTGGGTATTCATCTTGGCTCTGCAGGTGACAATTATATGGGAACATGGAACTCTCTGTCTGATGGATGGGGAGGCTGACCACACCAGCCTCTCATAGATCATGATGTTTGCATGTCTCTGTCAAGGCTGGGTGGAGTCAGACATTTTTCTCCTTCATCCTTAGGACTCTCTTGCCTTAGGAAAGAGTGAAGAAGAAGCACTCAAACAATTTAAGCAAAAGTTTGACGAGGCGCTCAGGGAAAGCTGGACTACTAAGGTGAACTGGATGGCTCACACAGTTCGCAGAGACTATAGGTCTTAGCGTTGGCCTTGACTCTAGTGGACTTGTCCGTTTGCTTCCTTTCCATTTTGCACTTGCACTAAATTGAACATGACCCTGCCAGAAATGCAAAGGGAATGAAATCCTGAAACTCAGAGTGAAATCAAGAACAAGGCACCTCCCACAGAGCCTAATCTGAACCACGCTGTGATGCCCACCCTCTGTTTCTCGAATGCTTCCAGGACTCGTCATGAATATTGTCAACAGCATGGATGGCCCTTTCCTGCTGACCTTGCACGCCAGGAATGCTACCAGGGACTGTGTGGGTTTGGTTTTTTATTTTTTTTTTTTTTCCCCTTCAGTATTTGGTACTTTACCAGAGAGGTGTAAATACTTCTTTTCAGTGTTGTGACCAAGTACTGCCACTCAGCCAACAACATTACTTTTGGGGGCTGGGAGCTGTTCTGATTGTCCAAACAAGGCTTCAAAGAAAGGTATCTCCCTTTTTAAATTATGTAATAAGCAAATTACATTGATTATGTTGAACTTATTTTTCAAAGAAAATATTTTAAATCTGTGAAAACTCACTAATTTTGTTAATATTTATCATGATAGCATCATTCCAGCCAGATTTGCTGAGAATCTATTGGTGGGGCAAATATAATATCTATACATATGCTGCATATATATTTATAAAATTTCTAGTGGGAGTTCTATATAAAAAGGTTTTTTTGTTGTTGTTTTTTGGGTTTTTTTTTTTTTTTTGTTTGTTTGTTTTTTTTTTTGTGGGTATTCTTCAGCCTGTGTTTTAAAGTCTTACAAAAGCAGAGCTTTTGCCTGAGTTACTTTTCAGTTAACTGTGGACCCAGTTCTCCCATCCGCTTCAGTCCTGAGGCGTACATGAATGCAGTTTCTCTATGTAGCTCTGGGAGTTCATTTCATAGAACGCAATACTTGAGCAGATATAGCCAAGGAAGTGAGCAAATGAAAAGGAATCTATTTATGGAATAAACTCCAAACCTAAATTTCAGTATTTTAGTAATATGCCAGCTGTTCTTACTGTATTTATTAAAATGTATAAATAATGTGATTCCCCCCCCCCCGTGGTATTAATTCAGATTGAAGTGGATTCATGCCACATGGAGATCTTTAATTTATTTGTTGAGGTACCATATAGTTAGGGTGCTAGGTGACAAGTAATGTTAACATGTGCAATAGGAACTACTGGTTTGGTGTGTAAATGGATGCTCTTTCTGAGTAATGGCAGAGTGCTCGCCTTAGCAGCACACGGACTCAGTACTGTCAACGTCCAGCAGAGCTACTGCTTTTTCTCCAAAGAGAATGGGAGCCCTCAATCCTCAAAGACAGGGCAAGACAACTGAGTGCTTGCCCTGTGACTTCAGTTTTCTATAGGAACTTTATTAAAGATTGTTTAATTTTGTTGTCCTTCTTAATGTTCTCTGTCAAATAAATGGGTGGTTTGGCTGTCTGGGGGACATGTGGGCCTTTTCTTTGTGGGAAACACAGTGTCTTTGGAACTTGTTGACCTTGGGACTCTCCCAAAATGGCCAAGTTAGTAGACAAACCAACCTCAGGAGTGGGCTGAGGCTCAGAACCTCTGCCTGGCTTCCCCTTGCTTCCGAGCTCCACCATGAACAATCTGAAAGGCCTCTTAGACTGATGGGAGCTTAAGGGGAGGGAGTGTTTCCATCAGTAGCCTCTGCTGCTCTGCATCTATGAGTACATGCGTGTGGGAAAACAAGCCAGGGTGGTGTGGTCAGTAGATACTCCATCCATGCTTGCTGAATTGCTTGTGTCTGGCTGAGAAGAGCTGATGCACGGCAGTAAGCTAGCCACCCCCTAGAATGAATTAACACTCTAGGCTGTACAAACATCTTATTGAAGAAAGACTAACCAATGCCTTGACCTTGAGCAAGCTGTAGTCCACTTGTCTCTTAAGTCCTTAAAAACCAAGCTTATTACATAACACATTTTCTCTCTCCGGCTCCCATCCAAACGCCCAGGCTCCTTCCAGGTTGGCTTTGAGAACTTGGTGGTAGTATTGGGGGGAATATCAGGCTAGAGTTAGATTTCCAGGAAGCACACCCCTGCACCCAGTCAAGGACCCACATTGTGGACAGTGGTTATTCTTTGTTCCAGGGTGCATGTTACTGTGTCTTGTTGTAATTTATTCAAGTAATCAAATCTGAGTCCTGGTGTTAGGTATTTGTAATCCTAGCACTCGAGAAGCTGGAACTCAAGACCATTCTCAGCTGCAATGAGTCTGAGAGCAGCCTGAGCTATACCAGACCCTGACTCAAAACAAGCCATCATGTCAAAATGGTTTCTTGTATTTTCTGATTTAATTTTGAGAAGTATTTATACTCATGCCACCATAAAATTGGAACTTCTGCTCGCAAGGTACTTCCTCTTCTTTCCAGTGGCTGAGACACTCTTACAGCATCACTTACTCTCCTTTGGTTTAGTGGGTCCTCTTTTAAAAAGTCTTCAGAGTTGTTTATGCACCTACCTTAACCAGCTCCTGTTTTGGTCCCAGGCACTTGTACCTCAACCTGTGAAAGTGGGTACTTAACATTCTTGGTAAATGCCTCTTTAAGATTGGGCTGTAGGTGGGCCTGTAATATCTTCTTAATTAGTGATTGTTGTGGGGGCCCAGGTCACGTGGGTAGTACCACCCCTGGCATAGTGCTCCTGGGTGCTATAAAAAGCAGACTGAACAAGCCAGTAAACAACAGTCATCCATGGCTTGTGCATCATTCAGCGATTGCCTCCAGGTTCCTGCCCAGCTTGAGTTTCTATCCTGACTTCCTTTAATGACAGACTGTGATGTGGACTAAGCTGAAATAAACTCTTTCCTCGTCCAAGTTACTTTTGGTCATGACATTTTATCTCAGCAGTAGACACTTGAGGACAGAATTACATCCTGTACCACTAACTGAAGTTGGAATAGTATAACTTTATTATTCACGCAATAAAAAACTGAAATAGACAGTTGTTTATTCCTGAAGGAATTTTAGATTTGAGGTCAGAAGCCACCCATTGAGAGGACAAGACATCTCCACCCCGTAGGTTTCTCTACAGCAGCGTCTTCTCTGCTACTGTATCTTAGAGCACCTACCTCAAGGTCACCTGGCTTATCTCCATGCTCTCGAGACCCTCTAAATTACCTCCTGCTCTCTAAAAGTCTTAGAACAAGACAAAACACCAAGTCTGCATTAATCAGTATGACCGAAGTGAAGGACTTCTTTTCCTGCTTCATAAAATGTGATGAGGAAAAGATGTGAATTCCAAATCCCATGTGCCTGTATTGATAGGATTCCTGTTTCTGTGGCTAAGAGGTCATTCCCAAGATCTGTCATACCATCTTCCATCTGTTTTGGGACTCCTCTTAAGACCACAGGGTTCTACACGTTAAATCAGGATGTCCCTGGGTGTGGCTCTGCTGTTGGTCCTTAAAATGTTCACATAATCTTACTGTGCAGCCAGTATTGCAGATGAATCATTAATCTTTGTTAATTTCCCCCATACTTGCTGGCCCAAGTAAAAAGGATTTTTCTAATATATTAATTACTTGCTATGTGCCAGGCATGAGTGTGTGTGTGTGTATGTGAGTGAGAGAGAGGAGGGAGAGGGGAGGGAGGGAGAGATTTCCATAGCAACTCTGAGCTGAGGGAGCCATTTCTAAATACATGGTGACCCCTCCTGTGCAGGTCTCCTTCCTCCTATGTCACAGCTGCTGTTTTCCTGGTGCAGCCCTGAGTTTCTGTGCAGTTAGGTGGATGTTGTCCAGGTAGAGCAACCCAGAATGAACTGGAGAAAGAAGAGAGGCCTGGGGAACATAACCTTACTGCAAGATCTTTGAGTACTCCTCCGACCCTCTGCCTTCTGCCATCCCTGCCTAGCTCCACGCTTAAATCACTAGTTCATGTTGACCAACTTCACCGGTGGAATAATGTTTAAAGCAGACCCCCAAGGCCCAGCCGCAGATTGGGACCCTTCCTAGGGAAAACTCTCATGCAGTCTACGTCAGGTCACCCACCCTGATAGAAGACTGCTCGTGCTGCTGCCTAATTCTGTCACCTCCTAGAACCCCAGGCCAGGCTCTGCAGTGAGCAGAAGGTGGAACAGATGACTGGAGATGTCTACCCAGTCGACTTAGAGGGGCGAGTAGAGTGGGTACAGCAGTGTGGATTACATGTGGTTTCTGGAGGGAAGCCAGGGGCCAGGAGAGGGCAAGGGGCACAAACTCCAGACAACTGAACATGCGAGGTCAGGGAACCCAGCTCAAAAGCAGCACAGGGAATTTCCTCTTAACCCTGAGCTGTGCCAGGTTGCCCTGGTAATCTCATGCCAGGTGGAGCTGGTGCAGGTGCCAGCTGCACCTGCCCTGTTGGATGGGGAAATCCTGGTGCCAGTACCTACCTACCTAGGTGCAAGGGAGACCCAGGACAACAGCTGAGTTCGTGTCACTGCCACCCACTGGGCAGCCACCATGGTACTTCTGCTGGGCTTCCTGCTCCTGTGGGGAGTCCCAGGTGAGTAGGGCCCATCTGAACACAGCATCTGTTCAGAGCCTCTCGGGGTATGGGAAACGGCAGGAGGGAGCCTCTGCAGGGATCCACAGGGTGGAAGAGCTGGGGACAGAACTCAGATGGAGTGGGGTGGGGCGCCTCCTTTTTCCCAGAGCACTGTCACCCAGGGTGCAGAATGTGATTTATTCTTGCCTCCTGTCATGCCTCAGTCTCCCCTTAGTGCCTGTCCAGTGATTTCAAAGGTTGACCATGTGTGGACTGACAGAAGTCTGATTCGCTGGACAGTCAGCTGCCCTGAGCCTCAGATGGTCCAGGCTACCTTCAGGGAAAGGCACTGAGTGAACGCGTTCTTGGGTATAGAGGTCAACCACAACCAGAATTGCTAACTAAAAGGAAAAACTAAACAAGAAAGCAGTGCTGTTTCTTACAGACACAGAGCAGAATGCAAAAGGCAACTCTGCTCTCTGCTTCAAGTCCATAATGCATTGGGTGACTTTTTAAAACAAGACTGAGTGACTTGGTAATTCCTAAAGGATATACCAAACACATTGTGTTCCTATGTCCTCTCTTGTGGTAGTGGTGGTGGGGCATTAAAAATACAAGGACCAGTCACATGTATGGTATAGCTTGTAATCCCAGCACTTAAGCTGAGGCAGGAGGATGGTGACTCTGGGCAACCTGGGTTACATAGGGAGCCCTGTTATTCAATATTCTGAGTTCTGACATTCTTTCTGTGGGAATGGTCTGCCTCTGTTATAAAGTCTTAATTACACTCTTAGATGCCACAGGTGTGAGCACTACCCACAAGCCTGTGCTCTGATGCCAAGCCTCTTCCTTATCTGGGTCTATATGGCTGCCCACACCCTCTGGACACATTTTAAGCTTGGCTGAAATTTCCATTAATGTTTCCTGAAAAGATAAAGGGACAGTTATCAGTTTCCATGGTCCATCCCCAGTGACGCCAGGGCTGAAAACCACACTGCGTTTTCTGGGGGAAGAAATAGTTTAGAGCTATTGAAAGCAGAAATGTGCAAGGAAGGAAGTCACCTGCAATAATATCTGTCCTGAATTTTAACTTTTTTCTGGCAAGTTCTGTATTGATAGGCACAGTCTTAACCAAGGGCATTCTGAAACTGAACATTAACCCTTCCACTCTCTGGAATCTCATTCTTACCGACCTCCAGTCCTGTGATGCTGGAGTGTCCACTGTGGTCACATCCAGCGAGTCACACTTTCAGCCTCTATACCCTGTCAGCTTGAATGGCTCTGGACAGCGTGAGCCTTGGCTTTCCCCAGCGTTCAGCGTTCTGCCGTTTCTCTGAACTCTTGACATTCAACTATAGGGCGGTGTGGGAAGCAGGGTTCTTTTCCATTCATTTCTGCTTGGGGGACCGAAGCACTTCAATCCGTAGTGTCCTGTCTCTTTTGAGGTGTGGGGAGTCTCTCCCTTCCTGGGGACTGGATCAAAGGCCCTGAACATGCTGTGAAGTACTCTGCCACTCGGTTGCATTTCTGTCCTTGTTTCTATTTTAACTGCATTCAGTAAATACTTATTTACAGAGTAACTACTATGTTCTAGGAATTTTGTGAAGTGATTTGAAAGGCTAAAAGAAGAAAGGAATAAAGAAAAGCTTGTTTCCAGATTTTTAGTTCCTGTCACATGTATCCCCTTTATAAAATTTAAGAGAAAATTGCACCATTTCCCTTGTCCCTCTCCTTCCCCCTTTCCCTGCCATGTCCCCTACTCTCTCCCAAATCCATGCTTCTCCTCCTCTTTAATCACTGTTGTGACATATACAGGCAAATGAATAAACATAAGTACAGTCTGCTGAATCCATTTGGTATTACCTGCATTTGTGTTTCAGCGATGACCATTTGGTTTTGGATAACCAATCAGGGAGGGCGCTCATTCCTTGGGAACACTAACTCTCCCTGTCTCAGCAGTTGTTAATTGCTTGAAGCTCCTCACCTAGGGGTGGGACCCTGTGAGATTTCCCCCTTCTGTGTCAGGGTGCCATCTGGAGTTGAAATTGTTCAGGTCTTACTTAGGCAGCCATGGTGTTGAGACTTGGGGGCTGTAACTTCCCTGTCGTAGTTAGAAGTCACAATCTCACAGCAGACTTCCTGAGCCTCTTCATCGCCCGATCTTTCCACTCCATTCCCCATGTTCACTGAGTCTGTCTCACTGAGCAGCCAGCCTGGCCTTGAACTTGATCCTTCTGCTTCTAGAGCCTAGTGGAATGATTCATACTATTTTTTGAAGTTGATGAAAATGTAGGCAATTCCACTTGTTTTGCCAGATGATTCTCAAATTGGCATCTGCATATTGAGTTCTTAAGAGTGGATAGAATTGTACCATTTTTATTGAGGATGAGCGCTTTTTAATTGTCATTTTTATGTGTATGAATGCTTTGCTTACTTGTATGTCTATGTACCATGTGTGCACCGGCTGCCCACTGAGGCCAGAAGAGGGCATCAGATCCCACCTTCATGTAGATGCTGGAAACTGAATCCAGGTCCTCTGGAAGACCAACCAATGATCTTAAATCTGGAGCCATCTCTCCAGGCCCATGACAAAAATAACTTCAATTGGGATTGAAGTTTAGTAGTTCCCTAGGAAGAGTGTGTCTGTGTGTGAGGGTAGGATGGAATCTCAGGTCATGACCCAACTCAGAAAATAGTTATACAAGCTCTGTATGCATATTTTTTTAAAAAGTCTTGTTTCTCATATAATTTACATTCCCTTGGTCCTAGTTTATGAATTATATATTTAAAAATTATATAAGCATTCCTAGTCCCAGTGGAAGAAACTTGGGGATAAAAGAATATGGTTCAGCCAGGCATTGGCAGGCATTGGTGGCACACTCTTTTAACCCCAGTGCTGGGGAGGCAGAGGCAGGCGGATCTCTGTGAGTTCGAGGCCAGCCTGGTCTACAGAACTAGTTCCAGGACAGGCTCCAAAGCAATACAGACAAACCCTGTCACAAAAAAGAATATGGTTCATATTTGTGGATCAGATGTTGTATTGGTGCTTGTGGAGATCTTTCCAGTGCTGTGGGCACGGCTTCAGTTCAGAGCGAGGAGTTGGTCAGTCACCCAGCTGTGCTACCAGACAGAGCAGGCAGATGCCATGCAAGAAAATGTGTTGTTTTCTGAATATTTTCCTGGGCCTTGCTGGCTTTAAAAGTGAGGTTACTGCAGACCCATAGGTTCTCATGCTTGCTTGGCAGGCATTCTACCTGCTGAGTATCTCCCAGCTCTCCTTCAGCTTTTAAAGAGTCTACATTCATGTAGAATGTGATAGAACACTTGCCCAGCATGGATGAGGGTGGGGGTTCACTCCCCATAAAAGTAAATACATAAAAAAAGTGGTTAAAAAACTTTTTAGTTGGGTTTGGTGACATGTCCCCATAATTCCAATACTGGGGAAGCAGAGGCAGGAAGATCATGAGTTTGGAGCCCCCTTGGGCTATATAATGAGATAAAATTTCAAGAAAAACAAAACACCAAAAAACCCCTCACAGTGGTCATACACAGAACAGGGCCTAGTTCAGAGATGTCTTGGGATCCAGGTCAGAGCGTCATTACAAATTGAGCCACCACATCTAAGCACCTCCTTCCCAGATCAGGGAATAGAGCAGAAGCCAGCCCCTTCCAGGCATGCCCTAATGTGTCTGCTTTCTGACAATGCAGGCTCATGCTCTTGTCTGTCATCCACAGGGCTGTGCAGCAGGCATTGTGCAGGCTTCCTTTGCAGGGATGAAAGTTTGTTCAGGCTGGTGGTTGATTCATGTGCATGGCTGTTACGGAGCTCTGTTCTTCAACTCCAAGACAGCGAGTCACATGATCTGGTGTTGATGAACACTTGGCTTCAGTTCTTTGCTGTTGTCCAAATGCTACCATGGCTTTCTTGCCCATTGTATTTTGGTGCAGTGGGTGAGTTTTTCTGGACCTATGATGGACTGAATTTGATTCAGTTTGCTCCGGACATCCTCCCTCTTCTTGCACTTGGGTTAGATACGAATAACAGGATACACCCTCCAGAGATAAGCACCCAGTCCTTGTAAGGGAGTAAAATCCCAGTGTGCGAAGGTTTCCTGTAATAGAGGAAATGCGGTATGGCTTCCCCTTTGACCCGTGGTCCTTGAGATCCCACTGGATTAATTCTGATGAGACACAGAGAGAACAGTTCATACTGCCTGTGGTGACAGAGAGGTGGATGGTGACCAGAAAGATTTGCTTTGGTAAAGCATCAGAGGGCTCTTGAATGGAAGCAACAGAGAGTCACCAAGGGACAGAACATCCCACAGGGGCCCCACACGTGTGGCTTACTCGTCTTTGTCACCGTTGCCCCTTTTGATTGGTTCCTTCCAGACTTAATCTGTGCAGTTGTGGTCTTACTACGAGAAGGCCTAGTCTGTGCTCACGGTCACTTGTTTCCTCTCACGCTTGCCCTCTACTCTTTAGACATGTGAGCTTCCTTTCCTTTGTTTCATAATGAGCTTCACCAGGATTGAAGTTCACTAGGAACCAACGCCTCCCTCATAACGAGGGGCTTCTAAAACCAGAACTGAATGAAATCTCCTGGCTCTGCTTGCCACTCAGAACTGGACCCGAGTCTCATGGCCACCTCTGAGATTTGACTCTTTTTTTTGTTTGTTTGTTTGTCTTTTGGGTTGTTTGTTTTGTTTTTTGAGACTGGGTTTCTCTGTGTAGCCCTGGCTGTCCTAGAATTCCCTTTGTAGACCAATCTGGCCTGGAACTCACAGAGATCCCTCTGCCTCTGCCTCTGGACTGCTGGGATTAAAGGTGTGCGCCACCACCATCCAGCTGAGACTTGACTTTCTGAACCACCCAAAAGATCACAAGACTACTGCCTGTCGGAGTCAGAGGTGTTCTAGTAAAGGATAAAGTCATACTATTGTCCCTTCCCTTTAGAGTCCATCCAAATATGTCTGTCAATCACCCAAATAGGAAAATTCTTCTCAGTAAAACTGTCTGTT